TAACTCTATCAGTTTGAAACCTTAAGTTCATACTGATTAATCAAAATTCAATCCAAAAGACTTCTAAAGCATAGACTGGAGCTTTGTGGAACTCTCCCTTTGACTTCAAAGCATGGGCTGTCCTGAGAGTCTGCATTTCCATGCTTTTGGTTGTCTGGTAGGGGCATAATGGAGAAATGGAGAAAAATAACAGTTGCCTGCTTCCATAGTAAGGCTTTCAAAATTTTCAAGATAATTTCTCCTACCCAGGAAAAGTATAGTCATAGCCTCTACATCCAAAGCTCAAGTGTGCATGCCCAGGGTCATCTGTCTCCAGAGAGAACTATATACCTATATGGTTTAGGAGACAGGGTCTGAAGTGCAGAGCCACATGAGCCAGATGAACATCTCTGGAAGCAGTCACAGAAGCCCGGTTTCTATGAACATACATAGTGTTTATAGTGACTGCATTAACATCCTAGTGCTGCTGTAACAAGTAACTACAGGCTAGGTGTCTCAGAACAACAGAAATTTATTTGCCTGATTTCTTGAAAAGCACTTGAAAATCTGGAATATAAACAAAAAAATATTGCATATGCTATTTGTTTTTTTTTTACTTCCTCTGATTTCAGATTATGATTTGTTATTTTGTGTAGTAAGTAAAAAATGATCATTAGACCTTTAAAGGAATGTTAGTTGTTTCTTTGTATAGCTGTGAACTAAGAATGTTTTTCCCAATTTAATTAAGGTGTTGCTGTTGGAGACTAGTAGATTAAGAATGTCCAGCATTATGAAAATCCATTATAAAGGAATGAATGTGTTTCATTTTCCTGTAAAAGGTACCTTTTACTTGGGGTGCATTTAAGTGCTTTATAAACAAAACATTAAATTAACAAAATTACCTTTGATTTGACTGATAGCTCTTGGGTGTTATAATCTCCACCAGCTGTTAAATTAGTTCTTATTTGATCTTTAGTTACATCCTGGATTGTCAAAAACAGATACAAAGAATGGAAGGTTATGACTCACCTCCCGTAATATTTCTCTTTGCTCTGGGTAAGGAGGTATGTTCACTATGACTGGTACCTCTCATCAGTGAGGTTCAGTTCCCTGTGGCTACTCAATAAAAATTCGTTCCAGGTGGCAGCTCACTCCCAAAGGACCAAACCCTGCAAGTTCCCTGCGTACCAGTTCAGTGGGCTTGCTGCTAAGACTAAGTAGTACCTTACTTTTTTCTTAGTCCCTTTCAAAACTTAGGAGACCATAGCTTCCTTTAAATTTGCTTCATACGAAAGTCTGCGACTTTGTTCTTATGGAACTTGTTAGTCAAGATACCACTATGTTTACCATCTCTCCCACAGTTGGTTATTAATGTTTGTTGAACCCATGGAATGCATTTTTTTTTTTTTTTTTTTTTGCTTTCTTTGTATCCTGTATAATACTTAGCATAATGCCTTTTGTAGGCAGTGTTTTGAAGTAGAACTTAAGCATTTTCTACTGAGGTCTAAAGACAAAACTTAAGTGATGGAGATACAAAAAAGCAGCTTTTGACTTTTTTCCTTTTAACTCATTGCTTTGCAAATTAGTAACAAAAGTTACAAAATGATGTAGTTTAAGAATAGCACACAGTGGAGAAAGGTCCTCAAATAAAGACCCTGGTCTATGTATAGAATGTAAATACATAAATTTCAAAAAATAACAAGGATGGAAAATTTTAATTTGGTGTAATGTCAATTTAGGATCTCACTCTCACATTATATACCATACTGAGCTATCTGTGTAAAATGTTATAGCTATATAAGAGGCTGAATAGTAAAACTAAAAATTTGCATAAACATTAATCTGATTGCTGAGCAGATAACAGCTTGCTAAACAAAACGGTGCAAGAGTTTGCCAAAACTAAAAAAGACCCTTCCTCAGTAAAACCTGAGGAAAACGTTACTGTATGCACATGATTAATATGATTCTTCAAAAGGATTCATGTAAATTTGGTTTATTAAATTCCCAGTTTCCATTTGGGCAATTTACAAATGATAACATCTAGTGTATGGTAGAACTAAATGTCCCATGTTAAAAACTTTTGTGTCACTACGGTGACATGCTCTTGGTGCTCGTTCTAATGAGTAGCTGATGGCCCTCCACCCCCCACAAATCTCACTACCTGTTTTTTTTTTTTTTTTTTTTTTTTTTACATTACGCTATGTCCTATTTCTCTCCTTTCCTTCTCTGTTCTGACTTCCTGCCTCCTACTTTTGATGGGTCCTCTTCCTCTTTTTGTGCCATACTAATTTTAACAGTTTTTTTTCCCTGTTGTTTCTTTTGTCTGATTTAGGTTTCCTTCCTCTTGCTTTTATTTTGCAAAAGTTGTGTCTTGAATGGTTGGGGGCACTCCTGTAACCACCCACCTTCTCGAAGGCATGTTTTTTCTTTAAAGTTATTTATCAGATTCAAGCAGCATTAGGTGTTTCAAGAACCTTTTTTTGTGAGAGAGCTGCTGAAACATAACTGGATGTAAAAGCTATAATCTGTTTCCAGATACATAATTCAAACAAGAGGCTGGTACTTTGGTAATCAAGGAGTGATGCTGATAACTGTTGCAGTTATTTCAAAATTTCCATTTATTTTATGGCTCTCTGTCATTGTTTCTAGCTATATTTTTTCTCTATTACTATATTAAGAGATTTTTAAATCAAAGTAACTCTACTAGGTTTGAATAATAGGAAAAAACTCAGACACTCATGACTTTGATGTGTCATGATATTTGTCTACCATATTTGTCTCCCTGATAATTTAAAATAAATTTATTTAAAACTGTTTTGTGTTTGCTCTGTAAAATTATATTTCTGTTGTTTAATTTTCTTCAGTATAGTAATTATAGTGTGTATTCAGAAGTGTAGACATAAGTATCTCAAAGCAAAATTCTTACTGGGATATTTTAGCTTCTGGATTATTCCAAAGACTTCAGTTTCAAAATTAGAGAGGAAGGGTCTCCCTGGTAGAGCAGCGGTTGAGTGCTGGGCTGCCACGCTGCCCACAGCCTCTGCAGCGCCAGTTCGATCCCCGGCTGCCAGGCAAGGGTCCCACATGGCACGCAAACCTCTTCTGCCACCTGCTGCTCCCCTCAGCAGTGTATTTCATCAGTCTGTCTGTTCTGCTCCCTGCTCTGGCTCTGGTGAATTCTCTCACCCTCTCGCGCTTCTGACTGTACCCAGTGCTTGTATAAATAAATAAATCTTTTAAAAAAAAATTAGGAAGAGGAAATTGATTATTATGATGTTACTGATTCTGTTGCTTATTGATCTTCCATATGAAGACTGAATATTACTGGTTTAATTATTCTCTAGCTAGCAAATGTTACGAGTGATTCAGTCACCTGACCAGATAAAGTTTGTTTTTGCGCTAACATTTTATGTTTTTCATAAGTAAATAACTTAATGAAGTATGATATCATGTTTTTATTGATACTGTTCTGCAAACTCAGTAATGAAGAAAAATCTTACAAAAAGTTTTGAAACTACTGAATTATAAAAGCTGCTCTCTTTAAGGACTATATCAATTGGACAATTAGTTGAATTGTTTTTCCTGATTTGTACATGGTTAAAGTGGTGAAATTAAGAAATGGGAAATACCAGTTTCCTCTAGAGATTCTGATAAGTGGTGATTCTTTGTAATACTAAACTTAAGAAAAATATTTTCCTTAAGTGATTAAATAGGATAAATGATTTTCAACATCTTTAGACTATATGCAGTTTGATTTTGCAACACTATTTGACCCTTTATGCAAATTTTTATACTGTAAAGTAAGGTTTAAAATTTCACTTCATGATACTCATCAGACAATTAAGTTCCTTACCTATTTCATAACCACATTAAAGGATCACAAAGATAATTTTGTTGATTGCTGCTTTAGAGGTGTGAGTTATATACAAATTCTTATTCAAGATAAAGGATATCTTTAATTGCTGAGGAATTACTTAAATAAGTTGAAAAGTTGTATTCTACATATTGCCTATATCCGCTGCAACAAAAATCTGTGTTTCAGGAACATGAGTGGTGACTATAAAATATACAGTGATGATATTCATTGTATCTCTGGGATAGTTATTTGGTATAACCCCAAGTTGAAGGAAATGGATTTTTGGTCAAATAATTTGGAATATGTTAGGTTTAGCAAAGCAAGGTTTTACTGGAGAGTTCTCACAGCCTTTAATATTGAAATATTTTATAACCAGATTAATGTTACTTTAGGAACTTTATGTATCTGTAATTGATCAGTAATTGATCTTTGTTGTGTTTCTTTTCCTCCCTTCACAACATACTATGCAAGTTCCCTGTTAGAGATCACATTGTTTTATTAATGGGAAGAAATAAAATATCTCTTCTTTCAAGAACTTCTTGAAAATTTGTTTTGTACATATGAACTTAAAATTTCAATTCTAGTTTTCTAATTTAGTTCTAGTTCCTTGCATCTTGTAGGAACCGATGGGGAGGTAAGGTAAAAAGAAGTGGGGTAGAAGGTGAGAGTAGGATAGAAGGAGGAATTACCTCAACAACTAAGTTAGGTCAAAACTTTGCTTTGTGTTTTCTCTGAAATGGTTGTTGAACCAAGGTTTTGCAAGAGACATACTTGTTTGCAGATTTTTACAGAATAGGTAAAATAAATCTTGCTGCGCTAGTCTACTGAAAGTGTTTCTCTGTGGTGTTTGCAGTGTTACAAGATTTATTAGTGGAGAGAATTATGTTGCTTTTATGTTCTCTGCTGATTAAAAGTGAATTTTAAAAATCATTGTTACTTGTGATTTTGGTCGTAATCTGATAGTTATTTTTTCAGTTTCTTAAACATTTAAGACTTTGCTCATTTCTGTTCACTTGTCATTCCTGTCTCCATTAATGATGCCTAATTTCCTTTTATAATATAATCTCTAGTTTTGAAGGTTTGACTCCAAACAGTTGCAAATATATATCAGAATGTATATTTCAATTTTTTAATTACTGATTCTACTCAACTGTCTGTGTTTCAGATGGAGCAGCTATCAGATGAAGAAATTGACCATGGTGCTGAAGAAGACAGTGACAAGGAAGATCAGGACCTGGACAAAATGTTTGGAGCCTGGTTGGGGGAGCTAGACAAACTCACTCAGGTTAGAAGTAGTGCTTGAAAAACTAGATGAAGATTTGAAATCATAACTGTGCTAAATGTTTACTGTATGGACATGAGGATATGGATATAGGTTACATTTTCTAGTACTGCTAACAAGGAAAAACATTAGCAAGTAGGTGAATTACTAGAACACAAGCTATTATCTTTTGTGGTTATTTTAAGGAGTTTATTTATTTATTTATTTTTGGTGTGGGACCCTCGCCGGTGGCCAGGGAGCGAACCGGCGCTGCAGAGGCTGCGGGCAGCCCAGCGCTCAACCGCTGCACCACCAGGGGAAGCCCTATTTTAAGGAGTTTAAAAAAAAAGTTTGAGACAGAGATTGTATTCCTCTAGTATTACTGAAAGTCTGCTTTATAAGTTGAGATTGCTGGCTAAAAATTTTTAAAGACAAATTTAAAACTTTAAATTTAAAACTTTAAATTTTAGCAAATCCTATTCTACAACTTAGTAAATATAAATACATTTAACAACACACAGATATTGGCATATGATTCCAGAATACGGACAGAATTTCATTCCACACTGCATTTTAAAAAGTGATGAACCTTTTTCATTATATTTTGTTGAAGTTTGGGTTTTAAAAAAGAATGACCTTATCTGCTAAACCAGGATACTTTTTAGAATACAGGGACATGTTATTACTATCCCAATAAATACTTTATATAATATGTATGTGTATTTTATTATATAAAGTATGAGTTTTCTTAACTGTTAGAAAAGTAGGTGAGGTGGAAACTTAAAATACACTAGTTTGAATCTACTTCATATGATAACTTTAAAAACTGGATGGATACTATCTGAGTCGATTCATTTTATCTTCAGACGAATAAAGGCAGAGAGCACTCTATGATAATTCTATAAATAGGCTATCCAGTATTGTTTTTACTTGAAATGAATTTGATAATTATAAGTTGAAATTAAAGTTTACCAGACTAACCCTGCTATTTGCAAATTTATTTAAATAGATACTACATAACTACTGACCCTTTACTTGAATTGTTTTGTTGTAAGAGTCTTATTTTCCTTATTATAGAGAGGGGCAAAAATGTCATTTAAGGAGGCTTCAGAAGTGCAGTATAATTCTAGGCAAGTGTAGACAGTATATCAAGTTTATAGATACCCTCATCTTAATAGAGCCTGAAAAGAAAAAAGATTCCAGATTGTTTGATGTTGTAACTACTCTCTGTTAAGGTCTTGGGCCTCCCTAATTTTGAGGCCAGAACTGTCCCTTATCTTCAGGGTATTTTATGCCAAGAAGGATGCTATGATGGAGCAAAAACAAATCTGAGAAAGGAGTAACAGTTCTCTGCACACATGATTGCTTTCTGTTTCTTACGTTATCGTGCCTAGCTTATTTTATTTTTTAAAGATTTATTTATGAATAGAAGAACTGGGGTGTAAACCATAGGTGTCAGGGTGGGGGGTAGTGGTGATGCGAGGATTCACCAGAGACAGAGCAGGGAACAGAACAGGCAGATCTACTGAAATACATTGCTGAGGGGAGCACCAGGTGAGAGAGGAGAGGTCTGCTGCACCATATGTGGGTTAGCTCCCTGGCCAGGGATGGAACTCAGGCCATAGCGGTGATAGCACTGATCTCTACGCCACTAGGGAGACCCCTACTATATAATGAGTATATGTATGTAAAATGAAGTCAGTTACTATACTTGATGTATTTGGAAAAATATTTACTCCAAACTATGACATTTTCAGGTACCCTAATTAAGCATCTATCTAAAAATGGAAAGAACTATATATAGCAAAGCTGGTAAACCACTTATACTTTACCTTAGGCTGTTGCTTAGAAGAACTTTGGTTTTATAAATTACTGTATTATATGACAGTTCACCTAACATTAAAACAAAACTTTACTCATTTTTTATACAACTGAAACGTGAATTTTATGTTACTTACTAAACTTTCTTTTTAAAAGAGTTTGGATTCTGACAAGCCCACAGAACCAGTAAAAAGATCTCCTCTCCGCCAGGAAACAAACATGGCCAATTTTTCTTATCGCTTCTCCATATACAACTTGAATGGTAAGTTGTAATTGGAAGTAAAATATAAATGTGTATGCTAAGTTACATAATTTGGAAGCAATCGGGACTATTCCAAATAACTCAGTATAAAAACTGTGTAACTTGATTGAGTTTTGTGCATTTTATTACTATTTCAAATTATTAAGAAGATGTAAAATGAAACAAATACTTTGCTAGTTGAGTTATTGACAAAGTACATATTCAGGTGTATCCTACAATAAACAGTCACATTGTTGTGTTTTCATTTGATGAAGGTCCAATGAAATTACAGAATGCTGTAATTTTAAAATCAACCCATCTGGCATTTATTTAAGGTACTTTCATCTTGATAGTGTGTACAATTGACATTCCATTCTATAATTTTTTTAGGTCTTTTCCTATTTTGTGTCTTTTCGGCATTAACATCCAGGGCACTGGTTATGTTAACAATCTAGATCCCTGGTTTAAAAAAAAAGTTCCATAGGGAATGTGCTTAAAACCATGGAACAGTGTAAACTTTTTGCATTATTTTTATCTTTCAACTCATTTTATTTTCCTACAACTACAAATCTTAAAAAGATGGACTGTTTGCTTTTTAAAATTTCTCTTAGAATTTAAAACAAACAAAAATTGTTAATATTTTATTTGCAAGGCTTTAGCTACAGTGGTATAGCATTTTTGTTTCTTCCCTTGTGCCATTAACTGATTAATATTAGAATGCATGAACCCTAATTCAGTGTTTTCTGAAAACATCGTGTATATTGTTCATTGCAGAAGCTCTGAATCAGGGAGAAACTGTGGATCTGGATGCTCTGATGGCCGATCTTTGCTCAATAGAACAGGAACTCAGCAGTATTGGTGCAGGAAATAGTAAGCGTCAAATCACAGAAACAAAAACCACACAGAAATTACCCTCTGGCCGACACCCATCAAAACATGGGACCTTGAAAGGATCGTCGTCTGCATCCAATAGGATAACTAAGCCTCCACATGCCAACTACTCTCTAGATGACATCACTGCACAGTTAGAACAGGCCTCCTTGAGCATGGATGAGGCTGCTCAGCAATCTGTCCTGGAAGACACTACTAAGCCCTTAGTAACCAATCAGCACAGAAGAACGGCATCCGCGGGCACAGTGAGTGATGCTGAAGTTCGCTCTATTAGTAACTCCTCTCGTTCCAGCATAACTTCCGCAGCCTCCAGCATGGACTCTCTGGATATTGATAAAGTAACTCGCCCTCAAGAACTGGATTTGACACATCAGGGGCAGCCAATTACTGAGGTAAATAGATGGAACTTGTTTTCCTGGTATATTATTTTTCAAATATGGATGAAATGATTTTTAAATGTAGTTTTAATTAACTATTTCTTCTACATTTAAAGTTTGTTAAGGATACCTCTGAGTTAAGTTTTTTAAATAAGACCACAGCAGGACTATATAGCCAGATATGGCGATTCCCTAAGATGATTAAGAGATTTAGTGTCTTCATTTTTATTCTTGTGACTATCTGAAGTCTATTGATATCATTTGTTTTACATGATGAAAAAACTTGAAATATGTTTGATAATTTATAAAACTATTATAGCTATTCAGCTGATAATTGGTTTTTAATGTATATTTATTATAAAATAATAATACTCATCCCCATTGTAATCCTCAAGATCCTATTTTCAGGCATTACTTAATTTTATCATCAAAGAGTTTTAGTGTGGTGTAGTGGAAAAAAACCTCTGGGCTTAGAATCAAAAAACTTGGTTCCTAGTCTTTTTTCCTTGCCACTTGCTACTCATGATCTTAAATGAGTTATTCATCTTCTGTGAATACCAAGTAAAGTAAATGGAGCCAAATAGTACATGGTCTACCTTCACTTAAGTTGGTTCAGAGAATCAGAAGTGATATAACAAACATGAACAGATTTTTAAAAGATGATGTTTTCTGAATGTAAGTGGGGTGGGTGTAGGGAATAGATTTGTGATAAAGTAAGTTTAGCAAAAACTGAGTTTGGTGAAGATGAATTCTTGGATTTTGTTTATTTTTTTCATCAGGAAGATGACAAATTTGTTACAGAATATCAGCAAAAAAGAAGAAAATCAATGGGGGTGGGGCAATTAAAGCCAGCTTTCCTGTCAATTTGTGTTCACAATGGTTTCTGAGACAGGGTGACTTAATCTACTTATGAATAATCAATGCTAAAGTGAGATCTTAAAAAATGCCGTTTACAGAGAAATTTAAAATTTACACCTATTAACATTACTAGCCCCTCCATTGATTTATTATTTTTTTTAAAAGATTTATTTATACAATCACTGGGTACAGTCAGAAGCGCAGGAGAGTGAGAGATTTCACCAGAGTCAGAGCGGGGAACAGAACAGGCAGACTGACGAAATACACTGCTGAGGGGAGCAGCAGGCGGCAGGAGAGGTCTGCGCACCATGTGGGACCCTCACCCAGTGGTCGGGGATCGAACCAGTGCTGCAGAGGCTTTGGGCAGCTTCCCAACCCAGCGCTCAACTGCTGCACCACCGGAGCAGCCCCCCTCCATCGATTTAATAGATTAAATCCATCAATACCTTGGTACCTACCAATGTACCTAACTTTGTCCCCAAGTACTGTAGAACAAAAAAGAAACATGAATCCTGATGTTTTGGAGATAAACATGAATTTTATTACTTGTAAAGAAGGTTAGTTAGCACATTGTTTCAATCTAAAGAATAAACTTTCACTTACTTAAAAGGAAACAATCTAAGTGGTATATATTCTATAGAGAACTTGAAAACGGGTTTCCACTTTATGATACCTAGTGCTTATATTCAGTACCAGCTGCTTAGTTTGCATCATTTATGTCTTTAAGATTTACCTGTTGGAACATGAACAGTATTTTACTAGGGGTGTGCTTTCTTGGTTATATTGTATTTTGTATGCTGACAGTTATTTTCAGTCAGACTATTTTGAGATGGGTCAAGATGCATGAGTGGGAGGCTATGAACTAATCAGTTAGAGAGAGAGAGAGAGAGAGAGAGAGAGAGTGTGTGTGTGTGTACATGTGCACACATTTCCAAATATAAAGTAAACTCATTATAAAGTATCAACAAATGGAACATCAAATGAAATAAAAAATGAAAAATCCTCCTCTCCCAGCAAATACTTCAAATGAAATCAAGTGGCTTTCATGGGCTAAGATACCAGTATTCAAGTATGTAATGTTTAACATAAGACTTAAGTGGCAGGTTTGGTGCGTAAATCAAGAATAAAGCAGGAAAAGGAGTTAGTCTTATATATTCAGTCTGTTCTTTTACCTAGTAAGATGGATAGAAAAGTATTTAAAAGATCTTGGAATTCCTTTAATTTTCTGAATCTAGTCTGCTCTTATTCCAATCAGGAAAATAGAGGTGTTTATTTGATCCCAAATCCATGTATCAAATTGTCCCTATTTCTTCTTTTTTTTTTTTTTTTAAAGATTTATTTATTTATTTATACAAACACTGGGTACAGTCAGAAGCACGGGAGGGTGAGAGACTTCACCAGAGCCAGAGCGGGGAATAGAACAGACAGACTTGACGAAAAACACTGCTGAGGGGAGCAGCGGGCGGCAGGAGAGGTCTGCGCGCCATGTGGGACCCTCGCCAGCGGCCGGGGATCGCAGCCCAGCGCTCAACCACTGCACCACCAAGGGAGGCCCCAAATTGTCCTTATTTCAACACAAAAACAAAAATAATTTGTTATGTATTTATGGAACTTAAATAATAAAGGAACTCAATGAGACTTGTTATAAAAGCTCTGCTGCACATGCATGTACATATGTAACAATTTTTTGCTCCCAGAGATTAGCAACTTCTGCTCTTCTAGCTGATTCTTAGAGTACTTACCTCCATATTGTTAAATCTATACTTCCGTGGCTATTTTTCGTTTTCAGTTGTGTGTATTGTTTAGTGACTCCTCACACTGAAAGACTAGGATGTAGTGTTCTTGAGCAAAGCCCACACATCTCCCCTCTTGTTCCCTCATGCTCCTAATATATTTTGGTTAGTTTGCTCTTCAGTTTTAATATTACAAGTTTTATACAGAGTTTACTGCTGAATGTTATATGCTTTTATTATATTGCCTTTCTAGGACATGTTTTGAGTTTGTTGTTGGGGGTTTTTTTTTTTTGGTATGTTTATTACTGTTTTAACTCAAACACCACTACTCCAACCCCCCTCACTCCCCATTGGTTAAATCTCTTACTTGGTTCAGACAAAATTAGTGGTTAATTAATTTCCTCTCAATAGTCTGTTATTTTTGTAGTAATTTTCTCTTGGTGGATAAGCTTCTCCAGATAAGATTCTTCCAATCCCCTGCTTGGAGGGCATATGGCTGGCTGATAGGGCTTTAGCAGCCCATTTGGGAAAGTAGTGTTAGGATGTGTGGTGGTTCTCAGTGTTCCATCTAGGCCTTTTGGTAAGGGCTTCTGAGCCATCAGCATTGCTGACTTTTTGGGCTAGAGAGTCTCTGTTGTGGGGAGCTGTGCTTTACATTGTAGGGTATTGAGCAGCATCACTGGTCTCTCCTCACTGTGCCAGTAGCATATACCCCTTCTACTTGTGACAACTGGAAATGTCTCCAGACATTGCTACATATTTCCTATGGGATAAAGTTGTGCCTATCTGAAAATTTACTGCCTTAATTAGGAAGGGTTAATGGCCAGTCTGAGCACCCCCCCACACCATGGAAAATGACCATGGATTTTCCTTCTCCTGGTATTCATGTATTAGACACTTACTCGACTAAGAATCAGTGTAGAAAAATTCCAGCTAATACTGTTGATTGAAAGTTGACCTCTTATTGGTGAAATGCAGGTAGGCCAAGCAAATTATAGACACTTGTGAAGAGAGAGAGAGCTGCACTCCCTGGTGTGCAGTGTGTAACTCTTATAAGTGAGCATGAACTTCCTTGAGGGACTCTGGAACTACTCTTTGCTGTTGCAATGTACTGTTGGTTCCTGTGGAATTTGAAGTTTCCCTGGACAGGGTAATTTCTGTACTTATCCCCATAGTCTCTTCCTTACAATAACAGGTCTATAGAAGAGCCTTGGTGGCTTTCTAGACCCCTTCTGAAGATAGCATGTCTCAGGCTAGCACGCAGTGTGTGTGTTTTTATAGAGCTAAATGAACTGGTGCCAAATTATATGGTTTTTTGGGTCCCATGAGTTGGCTATTAGTCTGAACCCGAGCTACTGCTGCTAGGCCACTAAAGGAGGGAATCTAGGAACTAACTGCTTTTCTTAAATATGCCTTCAGCCAGTTCTCCTGCACTTAGTCTCATCTTTATATCTGCTGCTGTTTTTGCAGGTTTTGACTTCACACCACATAAATTGGGGTGCATTTGTACTGATGGACTATCTAGCATTCAGCTTGTCTCAGGCTTCTGAGTTGGTTATCACTCAGCTTTTTGCCTTCTACTTCCAAATTTTTGTCATATCTTGTGAGTTTGTTTTAAACAAACTCATTATCTTAGCATTAGAAGGATTTGGGAGTGGGGGAATAGAGCTGCCTCCTTGGCTAATCCTTCACAGTCTCCTTCTCATGTCCAGTCTCCTGATCTTGGTGTGCCCCAGCGTACAATTCTCAGACTACCTTTCTATCTGAACTCCTGGCACTCAGTGTGATCCCATTGGTATTAACAAGCCCCAAATTTTAAGTTTTAATACACTGCCCCCCCCATTTACCCATTTATCTTTTTGGAGATTTGCAACCATTTAAAACATTGACAAACGATAGCCTAGAAATCTGACTACAGAAAATACATGTAATTAAATGCTAGCACATTTTAATCCCTTTTTTTAAATTTTTTTATTTTTTTACATCATTTTTCATTTTAAACAATATTTGCTTCCCCCCACCCCTCAGGTGTAGTCTCCATAGAGTTTCCTTCACCAATGCATCCGTGCACCCTCACCTCAGTCCCCTGTGCTCCTCCCTCCCGCCCTCTGATCCCTCTCCCCCCTCCCCTGCAGTATGTCTCTGGTTTATAATTGTCTGTTTTTGCTTTGGTGGGTTTTGTACTGTTATTTTTTTTACACTGATTCAAAAGAAAACCTGTACACTTATGTGTATTGCAGCACTGTTTACAATAGGTAAAACCTGGAAACAACCCAAATGCCCAAAAATAGATGACTGGATCAAGAATATTATGGAATATTATGGAATATTATTCACCAATGGAATATTATTCACCAATCAAAAAAGATAAACTCATGCCATTTGCCGCAATGTGAATGGAGCTAGAAGGAATTATGCTCAGTG